TCCTCGAGAGCCTGACGAAGCTGATCTTCGGTATATTGAGGCATTATATATAGAAGAAGACATGTGCAAAAGATGAGCCCATTTGGACGCGAATTGAAAATGTTGTGATAAAAGGAGGTTGGGGGTGGGCATTGGGTTGTAGTGGATTTTCGCGTTTTTGTGGGTGCCAGAAACAGGGGGGTGCCAGGAAGTGGGTATGTTGACTTATTTGTCTTTACCAATATGGCGGTGCTTGGATGGATGTGGGCACCATCCTCGTTCGGTCCATAGACTATCTCTGCTGGAAGAAACTTGAGGACCCGAACAGCCCTTACCAGGTTTCCGCCCCTTGGATGTACTCGAACGTCGTAGCCAACCATTTCATTGCAAGTCGCAAAGGTGACATGTTCATCAAACACTGGTAAGTCCGAATCAGTATCGGAGCTCAACAATACGGCACGACTGCGACTTTGTTTGCGGGGGAGAGCTAATTCGCTATCAAGGCACGATGTTTTCATGGAGATTTGGAAGGGCCGCAACAGCTCCGATGACATTTTCGAAAACCCTCTCGTCTCCTTCGCACAAAATATGAACGCCGATGCAGTCGAAGCTCGGAACTTCAAATGGAACTGGAGCGCTCCTCTCCCAAAGGTCCTGGAGTACATTGCTCAAATCGTGTGCTGGATCAGAGTTGCTGCGGTCAAAGAGCCTAACGGCGGCTTTGATGGCGTCGATTACTTCGACAAGAAAATCCTTCTCCACGACTCGCTGTACGAAGACTGGCCGGCAGAAGCCATCATCGGTTGGAATGGTGAGGACCTCTTCGACCTCTTCTCAGTCCGATTGGATGCCGATCCAGAGTCTGAAGAATACAAGAAGGCTTATAACGTCGTATGGACGATCTTGACTACATCGACTATGCAGAAGGTCACCCACGCCGCAGGCATGACCGCAACCAACGCATTGGGGACTTTGTGGGACATGAAAGAGAATGAGAACAGGGACCGTGAACCTGGAACTTTTGCAGAGTTGCTGCGGTATGGAAGCGTTCATTTTGAACAAAATCGAGAGATTGAGTATATCACGCCGCCGAAGGCTGATTTTGTGTTGGAGAAGGGTGTACTCGAGCCATGAGGGTGTTTTCAGATTTATCAGGCTATTTCAGTAGGAGAACAGTCGGTTTCTGTCACGAGATATGGATGTGGTTAATGCTGCCCACATTGAGTGGGCCCGCTTTTTGTGACAGTTTCCTACAGCGCAATATTAATTGAGACTAACTACAAGATTCAATTAAAGTAGGGGGAGTCATTCTGGGCCCCTTCATAAACGGTGTGATGATCATGGAAATTTGACAAAAGATTAATCACCTAATGAAAATGCATGTCGGCGTAATATGCGTCCCACGAAAACCAATCGAATGTCGCATCAAACGGTCTTTTTCGACCTCGCAAATCAGCTGTGGATGAAACTTCAGGGCCGCTGCTTGCAGATCCGAGAATCTGTCGCGATTCAAGCCCCAGAGATGGCCCAGATGTGAAAATGTCAGCCGGCAGCCAGTTGAGGAAATTTCCGATGTCTAGCCCATCCCCCAAAGTGAAGTCATCAAGAGTGCCTTGTGAGAGGCCGGGGAGGCTATCTTCTGCTGCCACTTCCTCGACATTCGTTTCAGCCCGACTATGTAGTGGGAGCCATGAGGAATCAAGGGTTTTGTTAATGGTTGCATGGCGATGTCGTATGTGTCTCCGAGCTAGTTCGAGGAACACAAACGCTACATTCTCCAAACGAGAGCATAAAACCGCGAGAAGCTGCATCTGATCTCTCATGCTCGAAAAATAGGAAACAGTTGTAGCAAGGAGACCAAGGTCATGGTCGATTGTCGCTGAGGCTTGGAACGTGGAGCTTTGGACTAGGTTCTCGAACACGACGAAGAATGGTATGAAAGGATAGTACAATAGATGCCTGTTGCCTTTGTTAGAAGGGATCATGAACGTAGGTTCGAGATCCGCTGAAAAAGTCTTACCAAACAACTCCGTTATAAACGGAAGACCAATTAGAGACAATTGAAGGTAGTATGAATAGAGCCTCTCTTGCGCACTCTAAACGTTGATTGGAGGAAGGCTTGTCCCCTTTGAGAAGAACAATCACGACATGGAGGTACTGGAATCTCAGACTATTGAGGCCCAAGGACATTTCCTTCAACTGAGTCGGCTCAAGGAGGGGCCTATCTGCGTCCATTATTTTATCCAAAATCTGTAATTTGCACAGCGTAAGTGGAAGGAAGTGATTCGACGCGGATGTAATTTCATCCTTTCATTGACGTACCTTTTTCGTTTGATTGGACCATTCTTCGAGCTGCAGCTTGATAGTCTCCCTCGAGGGTGGCGAAGAACCTGGGGCCAGCGTATCGACGACTGAGCCCATGATCCTGGCTAACTCAATACCCCTGATGAAGAAGTGTGCTCCAAACTCAGACGGACGAGCAGCCGGTGGTGCACTGCTGAAATCCGAATCGAGATGTGGTTGGAACTTGAGCAGATAGCTGAAATCAGGCAATGGAACCTCTTGGTAGAGTTTCATCGGAAGGAACGGGGATCGACCAAATGCAAGGGCACACGACTTATCCAATACGAAAAGAAGCCAAAACATCGAGAGACTTCGCTGATAGGTTTCAACATCTCTAGGCGTTGGCAAATGTAAGCCGAGAGCCTCTGCTTGGCGACAAGCATGGCCGACCAGCATCCACGACAAATTCGGAGAGGCGTAGTCCTCGCCATGAACAGCCAGCAGAGCTAACGCTTGGACATTAACTTGTCGTGGTTCCAAGAATATGCGGCTATCGTTCAAGGCGATCCGCATGTTCTGGCGAAATCTCGCAGCTTCTTCTCCATGGTCTTGTTTCTCTGGAGAAACTTGAGCTAACATGATGTAGTTGAAATAGACCAACCAAGCCTTCTGAGAGACTTTATCAGGATTGAAGACTATCTGCTTCAGAAGCTCCTCTGAAGGTGTGACAAAGAATGGCTCGCCTTTTGGCGCGTGTTCTAAAAAGGCTAGAAACGTCAATGTCTATCAGCACACGGCCCGGTCGTGGGATCAAGGACCTAAAACTTACTTCCAATAAGCTTGTAGCCTTTGGCTCTGGAAGGTACATGGAGCCCTGACATATGCGAGTTATGCCCGGGCTCAAGTGTCGCGGTAGTCAGGGACGTTGATAGAAACTGGAGCTCAGACTGAGCGTCCGCCTCTTGCCGAGACGAAGGACCAGGTATTCCAGGCGTGGACCGGAGGTTTTCAGTTGCCTCTCTAACAAAAGAGAAAGAATGAGACTCGCCAATGAACAGCTTCGGAACCCGAGAATCGGTTTGACTGCTCGCCTGGTTGGCCCGCGACGGAGTCTGAGCATCGCTTTCCGATTCCTTCTCGGATGCAGCTCGCAAGACAGCCTTTTCCACCAACGAAGCTAAGCGGTCAAGTTTGTGTTCTATGCTGCAAAGTCGAGATTCTACCGTGAGATCAATTTGTGTGACTGCTGGCTGAGGCGTTGGCTCGTTGCTCTGAGTTCCTGGTTGTCCTTGGGTTGGCACCGAACTAGGCTGGCCTTGAGTTGGGGCAGACTTAAGGCGATCGCGAGAATAGTTGCAAGGCCCAGGCCATGGAAGGCATGCACTGCACTTTGGCAGTTCCCTGGAGCACCTTTGTCTGTTAGTCTAGACACAAAGTTTTCATCTCTTCGGAACATGTTGCTAGCAATAAGTCGGACTAGTAATAGAAGTACCTGAACTTCTTCTGCCGGCAATAATCACACTAAAAGATGTCGAGTCTGTCAGTGAGAAGCCACCAATGACGATGGATCGGTATTTTGAAAGCTCACTGCAAAACGAGCCACCTGAGTGCCCTGCACAGGATTGTTACTTGAGTTCATCGTAATCGGTCTTGAAAGGGACACGGCTATGAATCCCGTAAAAAGTAGGATTCATCCAATAAAATTTGAAAGCGGAGAACGAGTCGGCTGATCAGTAATGATAACCTTCTCATGAATTGTGGTGGTGCTGACAAGTACGATAGAAGTGGTGAGGGATGGTCGCTAAAAGTGAACTTATTTCCCGAACAAGGTATGATGCTGACACTCCGACTTCAGCCAATCAACGAGCAGGATTTCGGACAATGTCCGCCTTGCCCAATCTTCCATGGCAATAATCCTCCGGAATACCTCCGGGGTCAACCAATCACATCGGGAGCGTTAGACACTGTTTGCTTTTAGCGCATTCAACCCGGAGAAATCACGATATCCGTGAGAAAGCGAAGGTCCGACTAAGTAAACCAGTAGCTCAGCTCAGCTTGAATGCTGGATGGGAATATAGCTTGTGGCACTTGAAACAATGGAAGAGTATAAGATGAAGGGAAAAACTAGTCTTCTTCGTCCCTTGAGCTCGTGTTCTGCCGGAATCAAAGTGGACACACTGCTCCTTCTAGCACAACTCAGACTAAGATCGTTCGCAATCCAATGCAACTTTATCGAACACGCTATATCGAAGTCATTACCAGTAAAAACTAGATGGAATCCATGTATCAAGGCGACATATCACCAAACACGCGAAGGACGCCAGATAGCCAAGATATGGCCCAAAATTCAGCCTCCATCGCAATTATTGGTGCTGGACCCTGCGGTCTGACATTCGCACGCTTACTGGAGAAGAACAACATCGACTTTGTGGTCTTTGAGAAAGACGTCGACTCGACTCCCACGCCGATGTACCAGGGTGGAACCCTTGATCTTCATGGCCCCTCCGGACAGCAGGCGCTCAGAAGTGCAGGACTCTTCGAAAGGTTTAGTAAACTCGCGCGGTGGGATGCTACGAAGTTTGTTGTTCAGGACTCAACGTGCACAATGAAAGCCGAGTTCGGTCAGGATCGCGACGCTCCTGAGATTGACCGTTTCCAATTGCGTCAACTTCTGTTGGACTCAATTCCATCTCATAAGGTGCGATGGGGGCATGGCGTCAGGACAATTGAGAAGGGCTCAGGCTCGGATTTGGTTATCAAATTCACGAACGGCACCTCTGCATCCGGTTTCCAGCTCATTGTTGGCGCTGACGGTGCGTGGAGCAAAGTTAGGCCTTTGGTGAGTAATTCTTGCGTATGCCATATCGCTTTTATATCAGCTCTCTAACATCACGTAGCTCACTACGGCATGGCCTGAATACTCTGGGAAGATGTTCATCGAGGGTCGGCTGTCGCACAACAACCCAAGTTATTCTGCCGCACTGGAACTGTCAGGAACCGGAAATATGATGGCTTTGGGAAACGGACGAACAGTCTCGGTGCAACAGGTGTCCGATCGGTCGTATCGAGTCTACGTGGGCTTGGTGGCCCCGGAGAACCTGACAAACACCACACTCGATATGGCTGATACAGAGGCCACACGACAAAAGCTTCTTTCTTCGCCACAGTTCTTTGCGGATTTTGCTCCCGAACTACAAAACTTCATTTCCAACGCCGAAGGTCCTTTTCGGCCCTGGCATCTTTACCGCATGCCCGTATCCTCCGTCAACTGGGATCGTGTTCCAGGTATAACTCTTCTTGGCGACGCCGCGCATGTGTCGACACCATTCGTAGGTGAAGGGGTCAACATGGCCATGTATGACGCCCTCAAGCTCGCCGAGAGCATCGTCAAGCACGGGGTTGCTGTTCTTACTGAGAAAGCGCAGCGCGCATCTAAACTTGAGGAAGCCATCAAAGAGTACGAAACGGAAATGTTTGGCCGCGCTCAAGACTTTATCAAGCGCTGCATCATGAGTGAGGAGGTATTCTTTGCTGAGGACGGAGCTCAGCAGCTCGTCAACATGATCAGCCAGGCTGTCGAATTCCAGCATCAAGGACTCTTTAGAGAAGAGAAGTGAGCCCGTGCTAGACGTGTGCTGTGCTGAGCAACTGATCAACATCTGTCTGTATTTTGGGGCTTAAGTCAACGTGTTGGAGGTGACCCCAGATAGAATTAATAACTTTTCCGCTCTTCTTTTCACGCTACTAGTAACCTCAAGTTCCTTTATATTTTACCCCTCACCCTAGACTCTGACAGCGCTGGGCACCGGTTCTCGTAGGAATCTTCCCAGAATATGCTACGCTAGTCGTGTGTTTTCAGATATTGACTGGAGTCAAATTGAATAAACACAGGCAGCTTTCAAAGATCCTGACAACGAGCGGGGACGCAGTATCTGAAACTAGACTGCGTGAACAGGTGTGGCGTTCACAAGGAGGCGTGGAGTTTTCGGCCGAAATCTGTCCGGGATTGACTTCTTGGTAAGATCGAGCGCAGCAGCCAGCAAGGTGGGCGGCGACCCTCAATAGTCGATCAAAAGAATGAACAAGGATTACGGATTGATGAAATGCCCGTCGGATAGATAGTTTCCCGATATTTGTCTTAAACTGGTTCAAGTTTATATAACGGCAAAGCCCTCAAGATCTGAGTTCGCCCAATAAGTGATTCAAGCTCTATGCTTAACTTCGATTAACTTCATTCAACTTTGGAAATACTAACAATTATCATGAGTACCATCGTCGTCGCAGGAGGAACTCGTGGGATCGGTCGAGCTATTGCTGAGGCTATCAATCGCAAGGGTGGCTACCGCGTCAAGATACTGAGCAGATCTGTAAGCTTTTACTACTATCGGCCAAGCTCGGCAAATGGGTTAGATGCTAAGTTGATTCAGGCCAATCCGGCTCTTCAAGAGGAGACGGGCATTGAGGTCATTCAAGTTGACTACAACAGCGTCTCAGAGTTAACAAAGGTCTTCGACGACAACGAAGTCGACACAGTAATTTCAACCCTGTTCGTGACTTCAGATGGCTCTCCTCAGGTGAACATGATACGTGCCGCCGAAGCCTGCGTCCATACGAGGAGATTTATTCCAAGCGTGTGGGGAATTCCATACTCAAGGGAGTAAGTCATACATATTTATCTCGTGTTTGCTACCACTCCTCCGAAAGAAATCCCGACCTTGAGGACAGCATGTCTGACGAAGATCTTCTAGTCAAGTAACCGAGAGGCAGATGACTATCGGCCAATCGAAGCTCGATGCAGTGGAAGACCTCGAAAATTCCTCTCTGGAGTACACTTTGTATTACGTCGGCTACTTCCTAGATTTTTGGGGGTACCCACGGGTTAAAACATACCAGATACAAAATATTATCGTCGTCGACATCGAGAACAACAGGGCCGCCATTCCTGGCAAAGGTGATACCCCCGTTACCTTCACGCATACCTTAGATGTCGCGGAATTTGTGGTAGCAAGCTTAGAGCTCCCTAAGTGGGAAAGGGAGAGTTATGTTATCGGCGAGAATGTGACGTGGAACGAATTTCTGCGAATCGCGGAGGAGGTCAAAGGTAAACAAGTGAACTATCAATGATGCTTTCTCATGGTCTTGTGAAATTGCTTACACACTCTTTCTTTAGGCGTCAAGTTTGAAGTAACCTACGACGATATCGACTTTCTCAAATCTGGGAAGATCACCGAGTTGCCATCTCATCCATCCCTGTACGGTGTGATGCCAAAAGATCAACTTCAGGCACTTTTCGCCACCTTTGGTATCTGGTTTGAAGAAGGGCTGTATCATCTGGAGCCGGGAACAACTCTCAATCAGTTATTTCCAGGTATCAAGGCGCGAACTGTCAAAGAAGTCATCCAGGCCGGGTGGGGTCAGAAGAGCTGAAGGCGGCAGAGACTGGTAATTATCTTGTCTTGCTTCATCTTTCTACTAGGCGGTCCGATTAACATAAAGCTTTTCAGAGGTTCAAAAGTGGACACATGATATGATGCGGGAATCTTGACTACATTAAGGTTTGAGGATCTACTCGCCTGAATCTTGTACCACGAGGCCTTCTGAAATTTTACTGGACGTCAATTAAAATTGAATCTGAACTACCTTATTCCCAAGCTTATTTCTTCAAATTCATGCACCAAAGGGCCAGTCTGAGGAACATAGAGATTAGTGATACAGCCGAGACACGGATGAATTTTTCACCATTTGGGTGATGGGTGATTAGTGATCACCAGGTCCTCGCTGAGTGGAGCCATCTCAAGACGATTCCCGAACAAAAGGAAGTAGAGGCATAAGTCAACATACCCACTTCCTGGCACCCCCCTGTTTCTGGCACCCACAAAAACGCGAAAATCCACTACAACCCAATGCCCACCCCCAACCTCCTTTTATCACAACATTTTCAATTCGCGTCCAAATGGGCTCATCTTTTGCACATGTCTTCTTCTATATATAATGCCTCAATATACCGAAGATCAGCTTCGTCAGGCTCTCGAGGA